GGTATTTCTGGCTCACACGAAGCAATAAAGCTGTTATGAACTCGAGTGTATTATAGTTCACATTGGAAAGCTTCTGCAATGACTTGCTCATTCTGCTTACGCTCGACTGTGCATCTTTCAAATCTACGGTGACAATCAGATACAGACTCAAATACCTTCTGCCACCTTTCAATATCCATCAAAAGGGTCTTGCTCTTTTGTGCAGTCTTTTTTGCAGCCTAAAAAGAAAACAAAGATCGAAGAATTGAGCTGTCAGAAGTTAGAAAATGAAACTAACATACATTCTTCTCGAATGAAGCTATTTGTCTACTAAATACCTCTTCTACTTTGGTCTTTCCAATGGACACCTTTTCCTTAGTCTCAGTCATACCCTTTCTGACCAATGTCCCGGTTGTTGCAGCAGCAGCTATGAGATATTCTTGCACGGCATGTCTAGAAAGAACACAATCAAAATTGTATGAAATATATATATATAACAAAAAAAAGAGTCGAAAGAGCACAATCAAAATTGTATGAAATATATATCGGGTTCACCATATCAAAACAATAAATCACAGTTTTAACGAAACTTATAGAACATGGAGCAGTAAGAAGAAGAGGATTACCTTATAGAAAGAGAGCCAAGTTCTGGAAAAAAAATAAAAATAAGAATCGTTAAATAGCAATAAGAAGAAGAGGAGTAGATCAAAAACCATATTTAAACAGAAGAGATAGAAAAACAAAAACAGAAAAAGAGATCAAACGCAATAACAGACCGATTAAGGAAATCTAGTGAAACGAAATACATATTTCATACCTCGATTAACAAAATATATAACCCAATCCACTGCGACGATTTGAAGCTGACCGAAAACCACCTTACTGAAAAAGATTGAAGAAAGAAAGCCTTGCGAGTCAAACAACATAAACATTAAGAGATCGATATAAAGAATATATACACACGTAAAATATGAAAAGGAAGATGTAAGAAGAACACGATCAAGGAGTAGGCAGGCCGATTATGATAGGTTAAACATTTATACTCATCAACGCAAAAATAATGGAAACGAAGAAAACATAAGAAAGTATAAGAAAAAGAAAGAATACGTACCTAGATTGAGGAATATAAGAACCTGCGAAACAAAGACAATTTTCGTAATTAATAAAAAAAGTAAAGGTTATTGAACAAAAAGAAACACACAGAATTCATGAATTCATGCCTCGTAAACCTGCAACAAAACCCTATAAGAACGATTTAAACAGTCCAAGTTCGAGCAGAAAAGCAAAGTATCATTCACATATAATCAGAAATTCATTGTTTCCATCAATCTAAACCTTCAATTCTTTATATAGTCTGCACAGAGATTGAGTTGCTTCAAATTCCAATCAAGAGAAGGAAAATCAAAACAATGCAAGAAGTGAAAAAAGCAACTACCACAAATTCAATAGAAGAAATAAGATCCTAAAAATTGATACAAAAAGTTAATTAGTGTCAGCAATTCATTGTTTACCAAAGATTCGCCTAATTTTCATCATTAAGTCCATCTTCAACAGATCTCAAACCACACAAATTCGTTCATCAAAATCATACAACACTACTTCGATGACGAAAATAAGGAAAACGAATGTAAAAGATTGAGTAACCTGTTCATGGCTACATGAGCTTAGTGGCGGTCATGAGCTTAGTGGCGAGACCGGGTTTCCGATGAGTACGAACGGCGAGAGAAGTGATATGGTCATGGCACTCGTTGCTCTCTTCCTCCATCTCAGCGACCTAGAGAAGCTGTGGCCATGAGAGGATACGGTAGAGGTAATACTTCATCTGATAGTTCTCAGGAAGGTACATGAGATTGCAGGCTTGCATCGCAAGTAGATCGTCCACCGTCGCTCGCCTGAGGCAAACCATGGCTGCTCAATCTTCTTCTCTCGCGAATAAAGAGGGGTTAGGGTTTTGCTCTTATGGGAAAGAGATCGATGGGCTTATATAAATATTTGAACCACTCATCATGTTTATGGGCTATACGAACAAAAAAATGATGAGCCCACCGATTTTGTAAATATTCAATGGCATTCCACCGTCATTAAAGATATTTTCGGCACGCCAGGTCTGAGAGGGGCTCTCACGATGCCAGATTAGATTTTCGACTTCGCAAATATTAGTATAGATGATACAAAATCTATACATAAATCATTTGCATGAGTGTTCCTAGATTTTATAGTTGATAGAAAGAAGAAGCTAATTTGAATTAGATGAATAATATGTTATAGAATTTGCTTCTTTAAACTTCATTCTTTTACCAATATAGATTACTAGCAGTAACTCTAATACATGAAACAAGAGAAAGATTGTATACAAGTCACTTACTGAATGAAACATTTCTGACACCCCCCAAAAAAATAATAGTAATGCACACCAATACAACACTAAAAAATTGGATGATAAATTTAATTTAAGAATAACGATGCAGAAATTGCAAAACGTTAAGAAATTTAGGGGCCAAAATAGAAAATGAGAAAAATATAAACGCAGCAAAAAAAAGGGGATAAGGCAAAAAAAAGAGAGAGAGAGGATTTGGTTACAAACC